TACACACACAAGCTACTAATATTAATGTATATATATACAAGTTTACTTTTACAGGTTCAAACCCCTTTGTGGAAATGTCACCAAAGAGTTAGTGTTCTAGTTTAGTCCAACACAAAAAAGTCTGAGAACTTCCTAATTTGTTTTCTTGGATAAACAAGAGCGAAAAAATTCTTCTGAAAAGTAACTTCTCATTTTCACAAGCCAGAAGTACGACTTCTCGTTTTTCTTAACAGGAGGAAAGAGGCAGAATTAGCAACTCTAGAGTAGAGGATTTTGTGATCTGAAATTGGTGACCTGGAGTGACAGAGATCCATTTAAACATTCAAATCACAGACTTCTTCCTTGAGTAGCTGGAGTGAGGAGTGGTGCTAGATAATCGCTCTTGAGCGTATTGGCCAAGTTTTATGTCTGAAGTGCTCTCCAGGTTTAGGCTTTTCTCTCCATGAAGTTTTCTGCAAATCAGTTGGAATACAGTCTTACGGACACTTCTGGACATTAGGAAATACATGACTGGGTCTAGGCAGCTGTTAAATGATGAAAATATGAGCATCACCTCATTGCACGTGTGAATGATCTGCATCCAGTAACAGGATGGGGATAGTAACTGTGATGTGATATAGACAACCCTGAACATGTGATAAGGCACAAAACAGATGGTGAAAATTATGAGAACAATGAAGGAATTTCTTGCTGTCTTGGTGTATTTTCCTGCATTGGGAAAATTTGCCCTTCTCCTCGAAATTTTCAGAAGGTTCTTGGCAATTTTAACATACGAAAGTATCAAAAGGAAAAAAACAATCCAAAAAATCAGCACAGTGATATAATTTAAAATTGCTTCTGTCTTCTCTGCATTCTGTTTGCTTCGGTAATGAAAGCACTTGGTAGAGTTGCTGTCCTTAGTCTTAAAGAAAGATGGAGCAACCACCACAATAAATCCTGCCAGTGCAATGGCCCACACCGTGCAGCAGATCTGCACGCTCCGGGTGGTGCTGAGCATCCTTGGACGCCTCACAGACTTTGTTATTTTTATATAACGATCCAAACTAATTAGTCCCAGCAGTACTATGCTAATGTACATGTTCATGTAGAACAGAGTTCCCACAACCTTGCAAAAAGCCCTCCCAAAGATCCAGCGGTTGGTGGCATGATAGAGGATCCGGAAGGGAAGGCAGAAGATGAGCAGGAGGTCTGCAACAGCCACGTTTAGCAAGTAAACTTGGATAGAATTCCTCTTCTGATGAATGCCCAGGAAAGCAAACAGGGCTACAATATTTCCAACCAATCCAACAACAAAAATAATGGAGTAAAAAACTATCAAAGCAAGTGACAGTGAGTTGTTGTCATCCAAGGAACAGCTGGCATGATTGTGACTTTCTGAGGCATTTATGGTCAGGTTGGTTTGGTTACTCCAGAATTCTTCCTTGTGTGGACCAATGGTTGGTAAAGCAGCTGAAGTTGCATCCATCATTTGAAAAGGGGTTTTAGCTGTTCTGCAAAAAGACAAAGAGATATTTTAAGAATTAAATCTCCATTCAAGTATGTTTGCTTTATAGCCTACAGTCTAATGTGATATAAAAATAAAAGGCAGTAGCTAAAAGGAATAAATGCACCAAGTATTGGTGTAGCTGAAGAGAAGGCGTTTCATCATAAAATAATATGTCTAGGTAATCTGCAGGCAAGAAAGAACAGATATGTAGAGTACTCACAGATAAATATTTCTGTAATTACAGTGTTATTACTGTTTTGTGTTGTTTTAAAAGTCAACTATTACAAAAATTTTCCTGAAACTATTACAACTATTTTCCTGCAAACTTAAGAATTTTCTTTATAAGAGTAAATAAGTTTTTTAAATTCACTTCTTGGGACCAGGATTTCTAGCACAGAAAAAAATTTATCTAAGGTGCAGGGACAGGTAAACATAGCTAAGTATTCTCAGTGTTGACACAAAGTATATTAAAGGAAGTCTAAACTCATCTGTGTTAATTTTAAATAATTCACATCTCTCACATGCGACTCACTGGTTCTCAATTAAAAAAGCATTCATCAATTAATTATTTGGCTATGTGGTGTGTTATAAGTAACCCTGTGAGACAGTTTGTTGCAGTGGCTTGTCTTTAATAATCTGTACCTTCACATAAATGTGTTTTTTTCCTTTTCTCTACTATTCACAAATCAGTATTGCACAAATAAACTACTATTAGCTGGAAATCACAACAATGCAGTAACAGGTTGTTTACAAACCTTTCTTGTTTTCATGTTTTTCTTTGCTTTCATTGGATAGTTTTTATTTCACTAAGCTTATTGTTGACCAGGAAGGAGCAATGTGAAAGATAAAACTTAGCCTTGACCAACAAAGGAAAACCAGAAATGTGTGGTTTGCAGAGCCGTCACATGAAGGCATTTAGAGAGATGTTTACTGATAAATAATGATAAAACTTTAGCCTTCGACTTGTTTGTCATAGCAACAAGAAATGCCATACAAAAGTTTATTTAGAATATTTTAGTTTTACAGAGGAAAGAGTTTTTTTCCTGTAATCTCACAAAATTTTCAGAAGTGGTTTTAGCACTCTGCACTTAGTTTTCTTGCAACTGTTACAGAAAAAAAAACCAAAAAACCATATACATACTGCTGTATATGTAATTTTAAAATAAATTTTATGCTAGCTCTGTGTCTAGGCCATGCAATTTGCATGCTAGGTCTTGAAAAATGCAAATTTACATTTAATTCTGTGGTGCAGCCACAGCAGTGAAAATGGCAACACTTTGGGCAAAATTCTTAGAAGACCTAATGTACTTACAGAATCTGAATTCATGAGAGGAGAGTCTAAAATATTTTAACATCCTGTGTTGTCTGACTCTACAATTACATTAAACTGGTAGGGTACATTAGCAGTTTCCAAACGAGCTATTCTCATATTTGCCACTTGATATTGTCAGGGCAAGTAATTTCAAGAGATTGATTTCAAACGGCAATGTTTTCAAATATATCTTGAAACCCATCTACTGCAATGACTTCATGTTTAAATTGCTTTTCTGTGAAAATGTTTGATATGGGGATTTGTATAAGGAAATTTAGATCAATGAGAGAGAAACTTGGGTTACGCTGCGAATGGATTGGGAACAAACTTTTCACTCTCATAAGTTGTGTCACCTCTAAGCAAGCAGATGTGCTTGAACCTAGATATTAAGAGAATTGCAATGAAGAGAACTATAGCTTAAGCATAAAAGAATTCACTTACCATTTATGTGCTAAGAAGTTCAGCTGGTTCTCAAAAGCACTGGTGAAGACGGGGAGGAGAAACGTGCAGGTCCTTTTATTAGAAAGCTGCAGCAGCAGCTTCTCTCTGAAAGTGGCGAGCTCCAGCTGACTCGTACAATTGGCAACAGGGGGAAGTTTTAACTAGTGTTGCAACTGGTTTGCTTTGTTTTTTTAAAGACATTTTTATCTGGCTCTACCCAGTTTATTTGTGTTCTGCTGAGAGAGGTTCTGTAATCAATTTTTCTCAGTTTTGCTCTGATTTGGAGATTGGAAGTTTTTTCCTCAGAGGTTTCGTTTCTGGTGAGCCGTGCCAGTGGTTTTTGGGGTGATGATGATGTTGGTACTATCTGTCATCTCTTTAATACTTCGTGGAAGTAATGTCACTTTTTTCCAGTAGAGGGTAAAGATAAGTCAGCACCACAGGGTAATGGTACATTTTGTAAATGTTTGTATAGTTCTCCCATCTACCTTTCTCCTTGCATGGGATTAGAATTTTACAATTCTTTCTCACTCCAAATGACAGTGACAGAAGGATGTGAAAGTGCCCAAAGTGTGCATCTGAACCATTTCACTAAGGCAGAAGTGAAATACAATACGCAGCAATAATGCCACCTGCTAATACTCTTCCAAGTGGTGCATAGGAATTGAAAATTACATTTATAAATTGGAAATTTAGGAGTGCATTCTAGAAGACCCAATATGACTAGGCCTAAATTAAATTAAAATCTCAAGAACATTGTTTTGAAGGTCTTTGTTCTCATATAATTTAAACTTTTACAAAAACACGTGGGTAGTTAGAGATGATGACTTCAGAGGTAGTCAGAAGGAACTTCTGGTAGGTCCTGTGCACTTTTTTGAGTTCTTAGTTTTGCAATTTAAGCAGTAATGTATTCTCAGGAAGTAGTATACAAATTTGAGGTTCTTCATTTTAAGTAATATGGTATTGAAAAGAGAGGCTTTGAGTAAATGCAGGAAGTTCTACATTAAATGCAATTGTTTGGGTATGTGTATTTAATACCAAATTGTGTTCTAATAGATTTTGTCTGTACATTCCTTCCTCCTGCAGCAGTCAGTACCCATCTGAATTGTTGTATAATCTTATTTCATTTATATATTTATTATATAATTATAATTCATTCAGTTATTTCATTTTTATATATTACACCTCACTGTTATTTGTGGAAAATCAAAGGTATAGATGGCTATGGCTGGAATCCACTTTAGACACCTGAAGAATATCCCTCACTGGAGTGTTCCAGGGGTGTTCCTTTTCTTTCCTGCACTTGAGAAGTGCTGAGTGAATCCTGTGATTAAGGCTCAAAACGGAGTTTTATGTTCTCTGTGGAAAAGATAAGACCCCACAAAACATATCATAGGCAGGATATTTCAGCTGGGAATTGAAACAGTGTAAGGGTTAGTAGGATGGAAGACAAAAACGAAAAGTAATACCAGGTAAGAAATTATACACATGAGTTTTTTATCTCCATTTAATCATGATTTCACTTTGTGTTCCTTGCTAGTTCTGATAAGTTCTGAAAGGATTTTGCTATGCCTGGGGCAATAGAAGGGAAGCCAATGTAGAAAGAGGAGTCCATGCAGAAAAGAAGATTATTGAAATTGAGACATTATTTTTCAAAAACAAAATCTAACCTCTGCTCTCAGCTTTATGAAAATAAGTGCTAAATTACAGATTGTTTTTCTCAAACAATGTAATAATTTGTCTGGATTTTTGTCTTTTCAGCCACACTGTGTACTGCTTGCCTCAAAAGAGAATTCAGCCCCAGTAAAGCTTGGTGGCTTTGGGGTAGCAATTCAGTTAGGAGAGTCTGGGCTAGTTGCTGGAGGTAAGAAATTTTCCTTCTAAGTTATTTGGTATTGTGCATGTTGTACTGTAGAGTTCTGTTCTTCTGACACAGCCTGGCCTGCAAAACAAGAGCTCAAAAATAATATTTCACTACAGACTAAGTTAACATGGTAAATGCACACAGCCAAGCTAAATTGGTAGTGGAATGTAATGTGCATTCAAACATTAAATCCCTGTAAATGTTACTCAACAGGAGCTCATGCTGGTTTGATAAAAATAAAACTAATAATACCCAAAGAATTTTCCACTTAATTACAAGCTTTGGCTTAATTCTGCCATGCTTGGTAAAGCAAAGAAAATAAAAATGCAGTCATTGAAGCACTTGAGTAAGGACTTACTGCAGCATCATCAGTGCTGCCCTGTTGGATAGGCAGTTCCTGTCAGAATGCTGTGCTGGTTAATAGCAAAATCTTACTGGTTTTCACATGTGATTCTTTTCTGTGTTTTAAAATTTCATTGTAATTATTGCATAAGACATCAATATCTTGATACGTATGTATATTTTTGACTGTGTTTTGTTTTCTGTGGATTTTATTTCCTCTAGCTGCCTTCCATATTGTTCCAGACAATAGGGTTATGCTTTAATCAGCCTGCACAGATGAAGACCCAATCAATTTTCTGATGCTTTCATTGCCAGAGTAGGAGACCACAACAAAACATTTTGTTAGTTTTAATATTTTTTCTTCTGAATTAATAACTTTCTTCAGTACCATGCATCTTCAAAATCTCAGATTTCGTAATTTAATCACTTAACATTCTCTGTCAACTTGTGTTTTGTACATTTTTTTAAATAAAAAGCAAATCAAATATAGACATATCAACAGCTTCCATTTCCTTCCAGATATTGCTGATACCCTAGAAATATCCAAGTGTCTTATTAACTAGAGACATATTTTCCAAGAAAGTACCCATTCAGTGAAGCTATAATAAAAAAGTCATTGCTTTCTTTACTTTTCTTGTGTTACTCAAATTATCTGTACCTCAGTCACTGCTTTTTTTTTAGTGGCAGTTTCTACACTTTTGTCTCTAATTATCTCATTTTTCTTCTTTGTGTTCTGCTGAGCAACTTTACCCACTCCTTCTGTTTCAGCCACTCTTCTGGAGATAGTCAGATGCAGTGTGATTTCAGATTACCAATTGTCTAGCAAGAAACATTCAAGTTCAACTTTGAAAAAAAAAATTACTGCATTTTTCCTGAAGTTTGCCTTGGCCTTCCTTTTGTGTTACTGTTCCCAGTGCTGTGGTCCCACTCACTGCTCCTGTGCTCACCCTGCAGCAGTGATCAGTGCTGGGGGTTCTGTTTGCAGCTCTCACAGAAGATCCCAAACCTCATCACTGGGATATTTCTCAGTATCTTTTGCTTCTTCCACCTCAACTTCTGCCATGTTGGTCTGCCTTCACACAATTATTTTTTTCCCTTTTTCTCAACTGGCATCTCCAATTTGCAGCCTTTTCATTGGCACTTGTAGCTTTCAGCTTCAAATTCCACTCATTTTCAGGGATACCCAGAGTAATTCCATTCCATTTATTTACTGTGGAAAGTCTCCTTAACTGACTCCTCTCTTTCTCCTCATCTTCCATTCCAGTCTTTTAAGCACAAACTACCTCTGTTGTCTGACAATTCTTTTCCCTGCCAGAACCCTACCTGAAGACAAATTACTAGACAGTTCCCTACACAGAGCTGGCAAGGTCTTATTTATTCAGTTTTACAATATAACACGTGTTATATGAAAGCTGTCAATACTGGATGTTTGAACTGCACTATAAATTCCTTATAAATCAGTGTTTATCTACACATCTGTTTAAGGGTGTTATTCATATGGAAAAGTTTTGTCATAATAGTAACAATAATTTAGAGGCACTTCTTATTTCTCAGTTGTCTCATTAAAAAAAGTAGAAATTCTCCAAATAGAGAAGTCTGAACAGCATCATAACCAACCTGTTCACTTTCACATTGCTTTTCTAATTTTTAGTGGAAAACATTGATTCCTCTTGACGTAGTCAATTATTTCCCTTTTAGCATAGCATTATTTCCCTTTTAGCATGGCAATGCCTGCATTTGGTGGTTAGTACATAAAAAAAGAAATTCTCTATTAAATGAAATCTATCATGGCATTAAGATAATTTTGCTAACCTGAAATCCCCTGTGCTTTGTTTGTGCTGTTTTTCCTACTTCTGTACACCTTGACACACCTGTGCCTGGCAATCCCAGATTGTGTTTAGCCTCAGGAGAACAAACCAAAGGGAATTTTCTCCCTCAGTGTGTTTGAAGCCAGCCTTCAAGCTTACAGCTTTTGCTTTGTTTGGGACTGTAACATTTTTTGACTTGACAAAGACATCTTTATCAGCGTGTGCATAAACTGCTGGGGAAGGAATTTTTGTGTTGAAGTTAAATTAAACCCCGGGTATTAAAATCTTTTGATATAAGTCCAAAGACAGACTTGTGAAGTTTAGAAGGATTGTAACTATAGGATTCTTTCTTTCAAGCAGGTAGATGGCTGTTTTACAGAAGTGTAAGAGAGCTCATGAGAACAAGCTGTGACATCATACTAGATGTCATTGATGAAAATGTGTATGGAGGAGATTTTAGGAGTGACTCTATTTTAGCAGCTAACAACTCAGTTGACATTATTTTGAAGAAAGTTCCATTATTAGTTATTATTTACTTTATGTAAGTAAAATAAAGTACAAAAACCAAAAAGTATGTAGCCATAACTCATTTCTTCATAAGGCCAGAGGGGGAAATGTAAGGAAATATTCTTTGTTCCACTCCATTTGCCCTAAGCTGCAATAAGTGGCTAAGATTCATGTGTTGTCATCTGAGCTAGAGGAAATAGGTTTCATGAGCTACCAATCTCTGAAGGTCTCTTCTTGCTTCAGTTCTTATGATCAGTAGTGGAAAATTGTGACTTGAAGCCTTGAAGTACTTTATAAAGGAACTCTGGCAGTATACACAGGAGTTAGAGAACATGATAATTTATAAGTGAATTTCTTTAAGGAGCAGCACAGTTCCATAAGACAATAAACAGTCTGTGTTGCATTGTTATGATGCAGCTGGAGTAGTGGAACCTCTGGGAAGGCAGTGATTTAATAGACTAATCTAACATTATGATCTCTGTCTCCTTCCTTGAAGAGTTTTTCTTGCAGAGCATAGTATGAATTGTCGCAGTATTTTCTTAAATGTGACATCAGATTTATCTGATATCAAATCTCTTAGATGCTAAATCTTGGGATTTTTAGCTAGTATATGGTATAAAAGTCTGAAGGAACAGAAACCATCAAGTTCACAACTGATATTTCCTTCACTTAATCTACTTAATTACACCTATTAGTGTGAGCACAGCATCTCAGAAAACTTACTTCCTCTCAAACCACGACGCCTGGTTTCAACTAGTGCCAAGATAACCGTACAGACCTAAGTAGGATGAGGTTCTTTATCTGGGGATAGTTAACTGTCAGTAGTTAACTTTCACATTTTACCTTCAGCAGCAAAATGTCACAGATACCATAATGCTAATCCAGTCGAGTATTAATTTTTATGTATTATTAGTTAGATGCCCTAGGCTGCCTCAAAATCCTGTAGTATCCTAATGTAAATTATTCTCTTATTGGAAAACATCTTATGTGTTCTTAGTGTCAGTACAGCCCATAAATACCAAGTGCTCTTGGTTCCTTGTGAGCTGTGTTTTTAGACTTACTACCAAAACAGCAAAGGAAGGCATTGCCATAAATTTCCCTCTAATTAAGACTATGAAATAGGGGGAAAGGGAGCAGAATTTTTAGAGTTCCTTATTTTTTTGTTATGCTCCCATCAATGTAAAAATGCTCATAGAATGGTTTGGGTTGAAAAGGGACCTTTAAAGCTCATCCAGTCCAACCCCCTGGTAGGAGCAGAGCACCTTCCAACAGATGAGGCTGCTCAGAGCAACCTGATCCTGAATGTCTCCAGGGGTGGAACATCTGCCAGCACTCTGGGCAGCATCTTCAGTGCTTCATCAAACTGGAGCTTGGTGGTTTTATAAACCCCAGACTAGAAAACTCTTTTTTGTTTGTTTTTAATGTTGGAGGGGTTTTATACTGCGTGAACGCTTTTTCCTTTTCATCATCAGAGTCTGAATGGTATTCAAAGCTTTCATTTGTTTTCCAAAGAGAAGTAAAATTTTGTAGCCTGAGATCCTACACTACTATTCTTCTTTCTCTTACAGGGTAGTGTTTTCACTTCTTTTTTTTCCTGAAAAATAAAAGAATGTGACTCACTTCCCAGCTTTGCCTTTAAGAGACTTTGTTTTATTTAAAAGATAGAGCTTAAAAAAGGGGTTTACTTTCTCATAGAAATATCACTTCACATCTGAGCTGATTTGAGAGTGCTTACAGGAGGTTAATGTGTTGAGAAATCATTAGGATTTACTTCCTCCATCATAGTTTTATGACAGAAAAGGCTATTGAATTGATTATAATTAATCTCATTAACCTGTGAGCTTTGCTTTGTTTGTTTTCTGGACACATATCTAGTGATCCAGTTGTCTGCTGATGCATCTTTTAAACACATTTTCTTTAGACAGTCTTCTGTGCTGAAGTTAAATTACCCCTTTTTCTGCCCCCTTTTTTTCCTTTTTTTTTTTTTTTTTTTAATCTACTCATCTTCTCTGTAGACCTGCTTTGAACATCTCTATTGTCTGGAGTAATGTGGAAAGGAATTAATAGTAGTAAAGTACTGCCCTCTCTGATCTGTTGTGTGTGATTCTTTGATTCCTTCCACATTATTCTGGACATCCCACTCTTTTAGAAACACTTTAATTTGTGAGCATATTTCTTATTACACTATTGTGAGAGGTCAGATGGTGATGTTTATTAGTACCTCACATTTTTTTTTCCTAAAAATTATTTGTTCCAGTTGTTTCCTTATACATCGTTCAGATACTACTGCTGTTGAAAGACTCTCCTTCTGATATCTTGGTCATCAATCCCCTGCCTTAGGGA